AGATGGACCTCTTCTGATTTCCTGCATTTACCCCTGAGATCTGGGTAAATGCAAACAGGATTTCTTAAACCGTCCTTCAAACAGTAACTTTGTCACATAAAGTAGAATTATTATTATTATTAATAGAATAGTGTGTCTCTGCAGTCAGAGTTACTGCCAGCCTCTTGGCTTCTTCTCGGGTCATGGCCTGAGCGTCAGTTTAAGTGGATGTTGATATCTTTGCAACTTTACAGTTTTTGCCCATTTTTCTTTTCCATTTCACAACTTTTCTTGACAGATATGTCCCTTATTCTTAATGATGATGTTTGGTGATGTTTGTTCTTCGAGAAACCTTTGAGACCTTCAGAGAACACATGAATTTATACAATTATTTGACACAAATTGGCACCACTTATCAATTAGGTCATTTCTTAAGATTGAAGTGGAATTAGCTTAGGGGTATCAGAGTATGGAGAAACAATAGCTCAAGCATGGGACATTTTATCATGTTATCTAAAAAAATATAAAGAACTTGAGACCTACAGTACAACTAATACAGGATAGTCTACAAGTCAGGTGGGGAACACACAACGTACATTTGGAAGGAAATGCTCTGCTTCACCTGCTCTTCCAATTTCTCGACTCTTCACATAAAGTACCTAGATGTAAAACAATGTATGTAGAGTAAGGATGCACTGATTGCAGTTTTCTGGCCGATCACCAATTATCGATCTATAAAAAGCCTAAACCTGCCGAATCATTGGCTGATACTAATTTTGAAATGTTGCTAAATGTAGCAAGAAAGTCACTGAATTGGTAGCAGTGAGGTGACTATTGTTAACTGCAAATGTGCAGACATGACCTGGTTGGTGGGTTTGTCTGTCAACCCTCTCTCAAGGGAGAGCAAAAGAGGACAATGGTTGATTTTTAGACCTTTACCAAGGAAGATAAGATCGGTGGATAAGACAGGCTTCACATGTAAGTATTGGCCGATCACCAATCTCCCAAAATGAAGGAAATCAAGTCTGATTTATTGATGCACCACTAATTTGGAGGTAACCTCACCCCGCATATTGAAGCATGGTGGTGGCAGCGTCACTTTTCTCAACTGGGTCAGAGAATCTGATAAGAGTTGTTGGGAAGATGGATGATGATGGTAAATACACAAGAAAAAAGAAAGAAACTGAGGATTTGAAACTGGGGATTTTCCTTTCAATGACCCTAAACATAAAACCAGTGGTTTATCACAATTATGCACCACCTTGTGTTGATTCTTCACATACAATCCCAATAAAAACTCTGAAGTATTTGGTTGAAATGCAACAAAATGGAAAAAGGTTAATGGAGTATACATTTGTCAGGCACTGTTTCCCACTCAGTGCACACACTTTGCGAGATGGTCAGTTGTGGATCGCTTTTAAAGCTGCTCTCCATCCACACACTCCTTCAAACCCATGGGGATGTGTTTCAACTCAGCAAAAGAACAGGGAAGCAATTTTTTTTACAGTGCAGGAACATGTTTGAAGCGAGTAGCTTGCTAAGTGTTTGATTTGTGAGCCTGCTTTGCTGCGTGCGGCCGCGGCCCTGGCAGACGTGTCCTTAAAAGGCAGCGAGCGTAGGAGCAATCAAGCGAGGAATTCCATCAGGCTGGGATTAGGAAGCTCCACAGTGAGCTTCTTCTCTAAATACACAGACTGACAGTAATGCTGCTCCTCAACCTTCTGTAGCTGTCAGCAAAAGTACTTTCTCAGGGTCTGCTCTTTTGGTCATGGTTATGATAAAGGAGCGCGGTGTGGATGCAAACGAGCCTCAGAGGAGGAAACAGTTGTTCCTGGCACACAGGTCACCTTGGGGAGATCACTATTTTTGAGTTGATGGACTCAGGACACACGAGGCCCAGCTGCCTCAAGATTAGTGACCACTGGAACACCATCTTACTGTAAACATTGCCTAAATTAAACCAATCTACCTTGAAATTTAAATCTGAATTCACGTTGGAGCATTTGAAAGTTTTCACTTCCCTCTTACCTCCAATGACTGCTCTCTCTGACCGAGCCTCCCTCTGGGGTCGCTTCGTCTCGCCGAATCCTGGACGTTATTGCTCAGAGCTGGGTGGCTTTCCCCCTGGGTGACGATGATCTTCCCGTCTTCTGGTCTGATGTCTGGAACACTCATCAGGTCCTTGTCCAGCTCCTCCATCTCCTCAGGGGAGAGAGTGGACAGCAGGTTGTCCAGATCTGGGTCCTCACTGACCTGCCGACCTGTCCGGGTCAGTCCCCTCACTTTTCGCCTGGACATCTTTGGGCTGGAGTTCTCCAGAATAACTTAATGCACCAGAGGGTAAATCCTTTTATCTTCAGTCAGGATGGTGCTCTTCTACTATATCCCAATGTGTCCTGCTGGATCCTGATTACCAAAAAGCCAGCAAAGGCATCAATCCTGCACTCACAGTGCTGCAGTGAGGGGTACCAGTGATGGACTGCAAGAGGCTCCCATCATCAATGCAGACTGTGAGGCTGGGACATTCTTCGAAATCCAGTTAAAGTGCATGTCCATATTTAGTTCAGGGTACACTCTCCTTTAAAGGTAATGGGAAGGGCTGGAGTTTACAGAGCAGACTCTCAGACTTCCTATTACACACTTTCTGTTTACACAGCAGAACAGTCACTGTTTATTTAAGTTGATTTTAACATTAATTTCATAGTTTCATTTGGTCCATTTTTCTAAAACCGATACTGGATGTGTATGTATGTAATGTAATGCATGTTTTTATTCCAGCAACATCAAGCTTTAGGATTGGTTCTCAACCTTTTTAACTTTCTTGACTTTATTTTAACTATTCCCAAAAATTAAGCTGAGCATATGCTTTTCAGCGACTTCTGTCCCTAAACTGGCATTAAAACAATTAAAATTGTATTCAAAATCAAGGGGCGCCTGAGTTTTAAAGCAGGTGTGTATTTATGGGAGTTGTTTGCTCAGAATTGACACATCTTGTTTGACTGGAGGGCAACATGGACACCTACTGGCCAATCGTGTGTCATTACACAATAATCCTGTTTTCGGTCTCTATAAAAGCAAGTTCAGCGAACAAAATGCCACAACACACTGTCATGTTTTACAATCCAAAGTTAAAGTTTTTATTAATAGAAATAATTTCTTTTCATTTCATTTATGTTACAGTGTCATACTGCCCATACTATGGCAAGAGACAAATGCCATAGACATGTCATTTCTCCATCTACATATCAGTTTCATTAAAACACACTCATGGAGTTGGTTTAGAAGCAGAAACAAACATTAACATTATTGAGCAAAAGTTTTATTAAACCACTTATGAAAGGAACAGAGAAAATCCCAGTGTTCTCAAGTTTCAACAAATCTGTACAGTTGGACACAGGAGTTGGTAATTCACACTAAAAAGAGTACCGATGGGTTTTTCTCTAGTTCACAAAGAAGATCAACACTGAGATAAGGTACAGAATAAATCTCAGACGGTCATCTAATTTGATCAGCAGTGTCTTCTAAATGCATTTACTACAAATCTAACTAACTAAATGCAGCCAGGGAGTCATCTGCAGGGGAAACGGGAAGCTCAACGTTAAAAAATCTGAACATAACTAATGAACAGCTTGGCATTTTAGTAAATCTCTTGTTAAATCCAGATGTGAGAAGTCAAATCATTTTAGGAGGAAAAATGTATTTATTAACTCAAAGTATTGCATATCCTTTGCTGTTGATTTAATTAACAAGAGATGAGTCAACGTCATTGGCCTGTTTTCCTCTCAGCTTTTCATAATTCTGCAAAACAGCTGCAGTAAATGTATCCGTGTCTCAATTATATCTCTGCTTCGTGATAGAAATAAAATTTTAATTGTCATGTGTTACTACTTAGCAGCAGTTAGCCATCATCCTATTTTCAGTTTTGTTGAATTCATCACTACACAATAAAATAGAATATATAGCAAAAAAAAAAAAGAGCCAGTTTTTGTGTGTAAAACCCAACTTTGCATTGAATATTTTTTAGATAATTTCCTAAACTTCTTAAATTTTACTTTCCCTCAGATAATTTCGGGGTCTCATTTGTTTCTATTACTAAAGAGTTTTTAAATAAATCTTCGAATTTGAACTTTGAAAGAATTAAAATATTACAAGCAGATGAACAGGATTTCCAAAAATACCAAGATAACCCTTTCAAGTATAAACGCACCAATCAGTCAATCAGATTTCCTTTAATGGACTCTGATTGGAGGTAGTGGATCACATATTCACTAGAACAAAGAACTCCTACCATGTTTGGTCTCCAAATGCGTAAAGGCATGGACGGACATAATCTCACCTCCTTCATTTTATGACAAATTCTAAAGTTCTAATTCTATCAAGAAACCTGCAGTACATCTATTTTTAAATTATGTGTTGTAGTCCTTACAAAACAAGAGGAACCCAATAAAATTTGAAATCGGCAGCTTAGACCTCACAGAAAAGCAGAGATCAGTTCTGCGCAGAAAAAGCCTGATCGATGCATCTCTACTTGGAAGAACTTTATTTTGGCTCTGTAGTCCAGTCCAGATGGAACAGAGTCATTCTTGGTAAGAGGTAACCTCAGTAATGACAAACACTCAACAAGAGTCCTCTGTTACAACACTACACTGTTTTAAAACAACTTGTTACAATATTAAACCAAGGAACAGTTTTACAAAATATGTAAAGAATATTCTCTCTTTTTCTTCTTCATGTTTTATTAACGTGAAGTGTAGACTGTTTAAATCAAGCAGTAGAACTCCCGTAACTACATAGTTTACAGGAAATTAAAAATGCAACATTTGCAGTTTTCTTGCCTGGCAGTGTGTCTAATATTAAAGTTTATTTTAAACCATTAAAAAAGCAGCTGAGGAGGAAAGCTAATCCTAACCGAGGAAGCACAATGATGCTAAGATGGCGTCACTTATAACATGTCCAGAAATATTTGCACGACTCGTATATCAAAACAGATCAGGTTGAGTTTGAACTAACAGGTGAAATCATTTTTTTTTTTCAAATAAAATTTATAATCAAAACATGCATCTCATTTGCTTTTTTTTTTTTTGTACCTCAGCCCCAGGTGCAGTGAGACATAAACACAAATGGAAAGATGCTAAACTTCAGGATCTGGATAAAACACTTGTTAAGCAGAATCACAGCAGTTTCTTTAAATTTAACAAACATGAAAAAAGTTACGCATTTTTTTCCCTTCAACACTTAAAAGAGTGCATCACAGGTCAGGTTCTTCAACTTTGGTTTTCTGTAAGCCAGAGAGAACTGTCTTCTAGCGACACTTAGAGCAAAACTCAAAATGTCTCGACAGATTCTCCACCTGAATGACGTGTGAAAAAAAAAAAAAAATCACCAAAAGGAAATATGAATTCAGGTTGCGGAACTGAATACGACTTACATTACTACTTTGGAAACGTAGGACGACGCTGCAAACAAACAGTAAACAAAGTAAAGATTAAAGTGCCTCCTTCCCTCCTCCGCATTGAAACCACTCCCTGTTGAGCTGTAGGTTTATTTTAACGGGTGTGTTAGGCTGCCTTCTCCTTTCCAAACAGTCATTTCTCTCAGCTGGGTTTTTGTGTGAAGATGAGCCCGTCAGTGACCAGGATACTGAGGTGGAGAGTAAGGTGGCGGGGCTGAAAAGATAAGAAAATCATACAAGTAAACAGCAAAAACAACACAGCACTTAGTCGACAGTTTTAGTTGTTTTTAGTCTTCGAAGAAAAGCGGAAAGGGACTAGAGTCGGGAAGAACGACAGATCAGTCTCAGTAGAAAGGTGAAAGGTCGCCATGTAAGGAAGACAAACCTGAACACAGGTTAGAATCTGAGCCATCAAACAGACAATTTTTAAAGATGAAAACAATTTCATTACATTTTCGAACACAGACTTTTTAACTTGTGAACCCGACACTGCTGCTGAATTAACAGTCGTTACGACTATATGTTGAGGACTTTGTCAATGAAGCTGAGTTCTGGAAAAAAGATGCTTAGGGATGTCACAATATATTTTGCTGGCTGATAAATTGTCTCAGCAATTCTAGCAATAAACAGTAATATTGTTCTGAGACCATTTTCAAGTAATATATTGATAATGGCATATTATTTGCCCTCTCAAAAATCAATAAACTTAAATTTTATGAAGACACTTAACACTGGAAATGGAAGATATTTTAAATATTCAAAATAAAACAAGTAAAAATAATAAATAAAATAGAAATAAAAAAACCACAAAATTATGATATCTCTATAAACAAAATTGCTATTCAATACATGTTAAACATCAGAATGGAAATTACTAAGCTCTTTTTAATTCATCTTTGCTTTTGCGACAGGCTTTAAGACGCTCTGTGAAAATGTCACATATTTAACCCATTTTCAACCAATGTTGAAAATGGACCAGCGCATTGACCAGGGACCCGGCTGTCAAGCACGCAAAAACATTTTCAAAATATTTTTCTCATCAGTGAATGCATCACACCAAATGTTACCAGGCTGCAATGTCAACCACACTTTGTTGCGTGGGTTGTTACTGGCTGAAGAAGACTCAATCTTACTGTTCTTTTGAACAATCAACCCTTCTCTTCACTGGTCAAATTAGATTTGAAAATGTTGGACATCTCACAGTTACTGATTTACATTCTGAAGAATATTCCCACAGAATCCGATGCTCCTGTTTTGCTAGCCTTGCTTAAGCTAAACAACAGAAAGATTGATCTTTTTTTTTTTTTTTTTCTTCCTAAGCTGAATAAACAAATTGCAAAATGCAGCCTTCAAGAGTTTGAACATTAGATTTCTTTTGCCATTGTCTAAACGCTGGCTCATTGATTTTTGATATAGGATGTTTGGATTGACAAACAACGGTATCTCCACTAAAACAATGAACCAAAAACATTCACATTTTTGTGCACCATTAATTACACAAAATTTAAAAGCCTTTGATTTAAAAGAACTTAAAAGTTGTGGACAGAAATGTTCGGATGCGTTTTACCTTGGCTGTATGCCGGATCTATTGATTGTGATGGGTAAGGTCCCGGATGCATCATTGGGTAATGAACAGGCATGCCAGGATACTGAGGCGCCATAGGGTAGCCTGCATGTCGGTACTCTGAAGGCCCAAGAGGTTTTCCAAACGCGTCGTGCATCGGCTCCACGGGGTAGCTGGCCATGGGGATGTGTTGGACTGGGGGGCAAAAATGAAAAAAAAAAAAAAAAAAAAAAAAAAAAAAAAAAAAAAAAAAAAAACCCCAGT